GAGGCCTAACGTTATCAGCATTTAATCCAAGGCCACAAGTCGTATATACGAATAACTAACTGGACTTCCCACAATCAATATATTACCTGAAAGACTGCCATTGCTTCGAGTCAGTAACAACTCAAAATATCAACAGGTTACAACCAATAACGTAGTTTGGCCTGGATTATGAGAACAACGAACTAATGGTACATGAAACTGTAGCCAATCTCAAATTAATACCATTTTGTAGTCAGCTCAACCCCTGTACCCCGTCACTCTCATGCATCAGCCCCTGTTAGTCTCCCGGTCCTCTCTCCCCGACTCGTGAGTGTTTCAGAATCATACTTCGATTCTCCCTGGGTTCACACATTGTAGAGAGAGAGGATTGGCAATGTTAACTGTACCAGGTGGAAGTGGTGTAATTAAACGTTCCTTGATATACATGTTCCCGTCTCTCTCTCTCTCTCTCTCTCTCTCTCTCTCTCTCTCTCTCCTGCCCACACTACACACCGTGACATCACTCCACTTTGATCAAAAACCACGTTAGTCCCAGTTGAAAGTGAGACATTCCCAACGGAATGGTGCGGGGAATGATGTACACACACACACACACACACACACACACACACACACACACACACACACACACAGTACATATACACACATCGTAGCTCCATAGACGCCTCAGCTATGTCCAACTCCCGGAAGTCTTCCCCTGAAATTCCATTTTCTATGAACCCGACAAAACCCGCGGAGGGAAAAATGTGTATAGTTAAGGAGTCCCTATCCAGGACGACCAGATAGAGAGAGAGATACGCACGATACTATCTCCTCCCAGTCTCCTCCCGTCCTTGGAGAGATAACACAATACAAAAAAAGTTTCGGTAGAGTCTCAGGGCAGTTTTGAGGCCATTATACCCCGCTATCATCATTGAGTCGGATGCGGTGTGTGTGTGTCATCTCAACATGGGATGGTTGTGGGCTTTTCAGACTCGTGAGAGAGAGGAAGATTTTGCCCGGTTTTGACGATGATCCCGCCAGATTATACAACTATGTACGGCCACTGGATCATGGGTATATATAGCTGCTTTCATTACGAGAGAGAGAGAGAGAGAGAGAGAGAGAGAGAGAGAGAGAGAGAGAGAGAGAGAGAGTCCTATCCATTCTCGCGTCTCTTGTAATTATTATTATATTCATCTCACTTAACCGATACTTCCGAACACTGGTTAGCTTTAGTCGGTTAAATCGGCATTCTCAAGTAGATTAATTCGGCATTCTCAAGTCGGTTAAACCGGAATTCTCAAGTCGGTTATTTCTGCATTCTTAAGTCGGTTAATTCGAGATGCCACAGTCGGTTAATTCGGCATTCTATAGTCGGTTATTTCTGCATTCTACAGTCGGTTAATTCGGCATTCGTTAACTCGGGAGTGAAATTAAAAATCCCGAATATATATTACTTGATGGTCTGAATATTATACAAATTATTCCCATAAACAGTAATATTTAAATTTTCTGTTGATATATAAAAAAAATATTAAACTACATTACCCATATATTACAAATACCGTCATTATTTCTACAGTAGTTTAGTCTTAAAATTGAATTCAAAATATTACCCCCAAAATATAAAATTATCTTCATATATTTCCATTACTCTACTAATTTATCTAATACTGTATTTCCTTCGTTTTATCTCTATCTACCAATTTATCCATTCTCTCTGCGTAAAGAGGAGGAAGAAGATATGAACAATTACGTGAGGATGTTTCTTCTTGTTTTGCTCCGTTTTCTTTGATGTTTTACTCCGTTTTCTTTGATGTTTTGCTCCGTTTTCTTTCGATGTTTTGCTCCGTTTTCTGTTATCTTCCACACCTGTTAATTTCGTTGTTTTCTACCACAGTTACTCATTGTTCTCTACAACATAATTATGCTACACTGTTTTGATAATATAACACCATCTTCCCTCCGCAACACTATCTTAATACTGTAACACCATCTCCCCTCCGTAACACCATCTCCCCTCCGTAACACCATCTCCCCTCCTCATAACACCATCCCCTTCACCATGTCCGGCCTTTCACTGATAATGTTCAACACTTGTTCAAACATAACACAATGTCTCCTTTAGCCCCAAACAATTCTCTCTCTATGTTTCTTAATTCTTCTCTAATCTTTAATTTTAGCGGTTTATGTACATTGTTTGTATACCTGTACTGTTTATGGTATTGCTAAAGATAATTTTACTTGGTATTACCCACTACTACTACCACTATCGCTACTACTACAACCACAACCACCACTATTACCATCATCACCCCTACGACCATCACCTCCACCACCACCACCACTACTACCACCATCACCACAACCACCATCATCACCAGAACCACCACTATCACCTCCAACGCCACTACCACTACCAACATCATCACTACCATTGCCACCTCCTGTCCCATGAGTCACTTGCTTGATACCAGACACTCGTTGACCAATTAGACATAAATGTGTACTCTCTCTCCGCCCTCTCTTTCCCTTCATCAGTCTTTCTCCCTCTCCCTGCCTCACCCCTTCCCCTCCTCCCTTATTTTTCTCTCCCTCCTTCCCTCCCTCCCTTCCCTCTCCCTCTTCTTTACATATCAAACACATTTCTCTCTATAACAATTTTAAATATATATATAATAATCATATACATAATACACATTGTTTATATAGTATCAGATATAAGGGTGATCAAAAAATACCTGTGCACCTATACTAATTAACAATACACACTACTTATTCTTTGATATACCATATTTATTATAGACCTTCTACTTATAATAAATAGTAGAAATTCTAACAATATCTACCATTTATTGAGACCATTTTCAATATTTACGACAAGGAAAATAACAATTAAGGTCTAACAAGGAACAAGTACAGTATATAATCGATTCTTGTAGGTGGGCAGGTAATTGTTCGATCACCTGGCCAATATAAACAAGATCCAGGTATATTAAACACAAGGTAAGGGTCTTAAAGCCATAGAGATATTGACACTTACCTTATTCCTGTGCCACTGTTGCTCTCACCTGTACCTACCTGTGTCTACCTGGTAATCTGTCATTCTCATTTCATTAAGAATCTGTGGTAAGTTGAACCCCAAAGCTCGTTTCTCCTTATTACATTCAAATATACACCTGAAGATTGATCACCCTAGTTTATTTCACCTGATGATATACCATCCTAACGCTACCTGGGGGAGGACGCGTTACGGTAGATTAGGTTAGGTTAAGTATGAGTAAGGTAAGGTAAGGTAAGGTAAGGTAAGGTAAGGTAAGGTAAGGTAAGGTAAGGTAAGGAAAGGTAAGGTAAGGTAAGGTAAGGTAAGGTAAGGTAAGGTAAGGTAGGGTCGGGTAAGTATGGTTAGGTAATGGCAGATGAGACATGATTTTGATAGGTTTAGTTAATGTGGTAAATATTCAGGTTAAATACACAGGGATGTCTAATCTTCAGGTGACCCCAATCAGATCTTACACTTATTACTACAAGGTCTTCCACACATGACCCTCAAGTATGGAAAGCATGAACCAATACTAATCTCAGTCCACTAACTTAAGGGAGTAGCATAATGGAAAATTTACGAAAGAGAAAAAATAAATAATAGTAAATAATTTTCCTCATGCAGCAGTTAATAAGAATCTTAGGATAACATGTGGTAATATGTATCCTAACACATATGATACAGCACCACATAACACATACCTGCCACCACATATTAAACAACATCTACAAGTATCTGTACACACGCTGGTAAACATATACCTCAATGGAATAAATGTATGATTACCATAATTAGATAATTAAACTTAAAACACACTATAATCATTTTAAGTTATGTAATTATAGTAAAGTTATTATAGAGTTATGAGTAAATAGTAAATTATAGCCGCATTCTGTTAGTTGTTAGAGCTTATTTCCTTCACACAGGCAGGTTAGTTCATGCACAAGCGTTATGTAATGAAAAAAAGTCCTTATATACTGCAGTATAACCAAATATATGAACCTTATAACAGGGGTATACTAAAGAGGGAGTAGACCCCTTTATAAGCCAGGGGTATGTATACTAAGGGAGAATATAGCCCCCCTAGTTTATAAGCCAAGAGATATACTAGGATGGAAGGCGAATATACTCTTCATAAACCAATTTTCTTGTTTAAAAAATAATAGGAGTTTGTGTTAATAGCCGTAGCTGCTTGGCATAAACGGTTAAGCCACATAAGACACAACGAAAAGCCAATTATTTGCATCTCTTCTTCACAAATATTATCCAGAGAGTAAAAGAAAAAAAGAGATAATGAAGGGAGGAAGAAACAAGAACGGATAAAAGCTGGAATTACTGCAACAGAAGATTAGTAAGTAAAGCCTAAAAAGAAGCTAAGGGGGACTAGAAGGGGAGTTAAGTGGGTGATGGAAGGGTTTAAAGGGACGAAGAGGGGGGTTAAGGGGACGAGGGAAGGGGTTTAGGGAACGAGAAGGGTTAGGGGGACGAGAGGGGGGTTAAGGGAACGAGAGGGGAGTTAAGGGAACGAGAGGGGAGTTAAGGGGACGAGAGAGGGGTTAAAGGGACGAACGAAGGGTTTAAATGGACGAGGGAAGAAAAGAAATGGTTAAGGGGACGAGGTAGCCTGAAGCTTAAAGTGTTATCCGGTACACACACACACACACACGTGAAGCTCGCTGAAGCTCATTAAAACTGAAGCTTTCTGTAAACCTCAACTCACTTTAAGCTGAGGTTCAATTAAAGCTGAGGCTCACTGGTTAGTTAGTTCACTCTTAAGGACGTAACAAGCAGAATAGCAACGGGCTTCAGCAGACAGCCACGCTAATAATGACTTCTAGCTTCACTGACACTACCTAACACGAAGCCCAGCAATGACAAGCTTCTCATAAAAGTAGAGATATTTATATATATACAAGAATTATATACATGATCCATTTGTAATCGTGAATAACAATGAACCAACAGCGGGCTTCACCTTTGCTTGAATCACGTTCCGGAACTAGTGGTTTGCCGCCGGAAGTCTTCGAACTCGGCTTTTCCAACTTAACCGGTTTTTCGAATGTGTCCGGTTGACAGGAAGTAGCCGAGATGCCGTTCGCTTTCTCCGTTCGGTTCTTGGAGGAGGACAGCGAACCGAATCCGAGTATTTGTTCGATCTCGGTCAGGAGGGTCGACTCGTCCAGACCAAGTTCCTGTAAGGCTGTTGGAGAGGAAGGAATGAACGCTTCGAGTCAAGAGTCAAGGCGGAGGTGGTGGAGGATGTGGTGGAGTAAGTAGTGAAGAAGGATGGATAGATAGAGAGAGGGAGAGACAGAGAGAGACAGGAGAGATCTAAAGACATAATTATGTGCTAAACTAAACTAAAAAAAATAACCAATGCAAACTAAAGGATTTGCTGAGGTAGTGTATTACATCACTAAGCCACATCAGTGCTAAAGTGAACTAAAAAAAATAATAACTAATGCAAACTAAAAAAAAGGTTGCTTAACTAAGTGTATTTAGTGACACAAACATCACACACCAACTGTGCTGAACTAGTGAACTAAACTAATAAACTAATAAGACAAGTATACGTAAATAAAATATATACAATAAATATATCATAAGAAAGTATATACAAATACACAAATACAAAAATATTACAAACATTTCAATTCTGTACATAATTTCAGCCACTGTACTGACAATAGGTTTAAATACACTCTGTATACAACAACACGACGGGGAATCAAATATACACTCGTACACCTCATAAAGTGTACAATGGGTCTCATGTAAGCAACACAGGCAAGCGAGGGGGCAGCAGGTATTATGGCGGGGAATATAACAAGAGGATTGCGGAACACAGGTCAAGGGAGAGTTACGAGAGAGGCAAAACGTAAACACATGGGAGTATTAATTGGCTGTCACAAGATACCACACAAACACACATATACAAACACAAACATACAAACATAAACACTTAAAAACACAAACACTTAAAAGCACAAACACATAAAAACACTCACACAAACACAAATGGAAAAATAACAAATAATTAAAAAAAAAAAAAAGTTTAGTCAGACACACACGGCCATTTCTCCCCCCTGCCATGACGCGTCGCCACAACAAGGAACTATTATAAGCTGTTTTACGTTCCGTCTGCTGGCGTTCCGTCTGCTGGCGTTCCGACCTCCTCCCCCTCCTAGCAGACGGACGAACGAACAGGGGGACGGACATATTCTCCATCACCTGCTCACTACCACACAGGAGCTCAAAATATTCTGGCGCCACAACGAGTAATACTTCATTTTTCGTCCCCCCCCCCCTAAGACGGACGGACGGAACCGTTTGTTTACGACACAAGAGTACAAATATCACAGTAAAAGCCGTTTGTGGAAATGTGTCCCTACTCCCCTTGTGGTAACCCGTATCTCCAAACGGCACCGTCGCAGTAGTAGTATCACTATATATGAATGACTGGGTATTGGTCATGTAACGAGGGACGTGATTGGTGGATAGGTTTGCTATAGATCATATAGGTTGGCCGTTTGGTGACACAGGTGACACATTTCCACAACTGTACCAGTGACAGAATACACAACGGCATCTCTTAGCATCAGTTAGACGTAAAAACACCTTAACTTAATACGTTTCCTAAACACTGCAGAGACGACAAAAATAATGTACCGAATCTATGGAAATATTTAATAACTTAATTTTGTCCAGTGTACCTTAAACGTGTCGAGTTAAGGCATAATCTAATACCCAATTTAAGATACATTCTCACATCTTCACTTAACGAATAACCTTCATCGGACGAGCCCTTTGAGAGTCTGGATGTGTGTACTCGTAAGTCTTGCGAGTTTTTGTGAATCTGGGCCAAGACTCATAATTTTTGTGAGTCTTATCGCATGAACCTTTGTGAGTCTAAAGGTGTTTAGTCGTAAGTCTTGTGTGAGTTTTAATTATAACCTGTCTCTCCTTGTATTCTCAGACGGTCTTAATAATGGCTGGGTCGTGACAAGGTGTGTGGGGGTAAAACTGGGTCGTGACAAGGTGTGTGTGTGTGGGGGTAACACTAGATCGTGACAAGGTGTGTGGGGGTAACACTAGATCGCGACAAGGTGTGTGGGGGTAACACTGGGTCGCGACAAGGTGTCAATGGGGGTAACACTGGAGTCGCGACAAGGTGTGGGGGGTATGCTGGGTCGTGACAAGGTGTGTGGGGGTAATACTGGGTCGTAACAAGGTGTGTGGGGGTAATGTGCTGGGTCGTGACCAAAGTGTGTGTGGGGGTAAAACTGGGTCGTGACAAAGGTGTGTGTGTGGGGTAACACTAGATCATGGGCTTAAGGTGTGAGGAGTAACACTAGATCGCGACAAAGGTGTGTGTGGGGGTACTAGGTCGTGACAAGGTGTGTGGGGGTAATACTGGGTCGTGACAAGGTGTGTGGGGGTAATACTGGGTCGTGACAAGGTGTGTAGGGGTAATACTGGGTCGTGACAAGGTGTGTGGGGGTAACACTGGGTCGTGACAAGGTGTGTGGGGGTAACACTGGGTCGTGACAAGGTGTGTAGGGGTAACACTGGGTCGTGACAAGGTGTGTGTAAGGGGATAATACTTCCCCTCTATTTGCCTGGGTCGACGTTAATATTCCCCCCGTAAAAGAACGCTACGCCACTGCAGGCACAACCGTTGGTGAGCATCCGTCAGGCGTAGCTTACGATTGTGTCATTGTAATGCAAGGAGATGGGGTTAGGTAACGGAAGGCGATGCTGAGTGTTCGTACATTAAACGGAAATTCGTTAAGCTGATCGTTAAACGGACACTGGCTGTACATATTTGTTCGCTCGCTCTGGCGGTGTCTTTTATGTCATGGACCTAATGATCGCACCATAAAAGAGAACACTGCAAGCAGAAAGCGAGCGAACGTGCGTCAGGCGTAGCTTTCATTACACAGTAGAGAGCGTCCAGGACACATTTGATTGCTCGTTCTGCGGATGTTTTTATGGGAAGCTTTGAGGCAGCGGACCGTGACGTGTGTCTGGACCCGTTATTAACCCTCCGAGGTCTTTATTCGTGCGGGGGGAAGGAGCTTTTTTAAGAGATAATTCTCCCTTGTGCACCAGGACGTTCTCAGCGAGATACTCAGAGATACTTAGAGATAATCAGAGATAACCAGAGATACGTATAGATATCCAAAGATAGTCAGAGATAGCCAGACATACTTAGAGATATCCAAAGTTAGTCAGGGATACCCAGAGACACCTAGAGATAACCAGAGATACTTAGAGATAACGAGAGATATTTAAAACTAACCAGAAATAATGTGGTAAAGTAAACATTCATTTCCTTAATTGTTTTTAATAATTCCAACCCTGGTCTTATGGCAGCAATAGTCAACACCCAACGTTATCAGCTCACTCTCTCTTGTACACAGAGCCAACACAAGCAGGTGTATTCAAGCAGGTGTGTGTGTAATAGACGCGCATTACCACTGACACACCTGACGCACCTGTTACACCTGTTGGCCGTCAGCTCCAATGTGAACACCACCTCTCTCTCTCTCTCTCTCTCTCTCTCTCTCTCTCAGTATTGCTCCGGAGACAACATGGCGTCTCTCTACACAAGGAGATTAAATTTCAAGATTCTGTTCTTGTAGTTTTCTTTGTTCCTCGTACTTAAGCAACTGTTCTTGTTGGTGTTGTTGATGCTGTATTTATTGTTGGTTGTGTGTTTTCTTGTTTCTATATTTGTTTTTCTTTATCTTGTTCTTGTCTTTGTTTTATGTTGTTAATTATGTTTGTTTGTTTGTTTTGTTATTATTATTATTGTCGTCTATTTCTTTGTTCTTGTAATTGTTGTTGACATCTTTCTAGTTTTTGCCAGTATATTAGCAGTGTCTCCTACCCCTACCCCTCCCTCCCAACCCCCCACCCCTACACCTCCCCTACCCCCACCCCTCCCCCCCTCCCCCGAACGCCAGAAAAGCATAGTGTCGTAGAAAGATATATATTTAGTGTCCTATTCTCGTCTCTTCGTCGTCTGATGTCACTGACCCGCCTGGGCCTCACCCATCCCAACTATCTCCCTTGATGACGTGTAACAAAAACATTTAGAAGGGCCTTTAAATTTTAGGGCCGGAGAGAGGTATTTAAGGATGGAGATGGGCTGGATAAGGGGTGTTTAAGGTTGGATAGAGAGGTGTTTTAGGGTTGGATAGGGAGGTGTTTTAGTGGTTGGATAGAGAGGTGTTTTAGGGTTGGATGGGAGGTGTTTTAGTGGTTGGATAAGGAGGTGTTTAGGGTTGGATAGAGAGTGTTTTAGGGTTGGATAGAGAGGTGTTTAGGGTTGGATAGGGAGTGTTTTAGGGTTGGATAGGAGGGTGTTTTAGGGTTGGATAGAGACATGTTTTAGGGTTGGATGAGACATGTTTAGGGTTGGATAGGGAGGTGTTTGGGGTTGGATATTTCATAAAGGGGACAGTAGACTTGGAGCAAGGTGGTTTCACAACTATGTTAAACAAGGTACAAGTCCGGATAACGCATATTCTATCTACGTTAAGTGAGGTAAATCTTATATAACGCCTGACAGCCTTAACGCCTGACATGACCTTTAACGCCCTGACATGACCTTTAATGCCCTGACATGACCTTTAACGCCCTAGCTGACCTTTAACGCTGCATGACCTTTAACGCCCTGACGACCTTTAACGCCCTGACATGACCTTTAACGCCCTGACATGACCTTTAACGCCCTGACATGACCTTTAACGCCCTGACATGACCTTAACGCCCTGACATGACCTTAACGCCCTGACATGACCTTTAAGCCCCTGTGTGTCCTATGGTCAGGGAAACAGGCCAATTAGGGGCCTTTAACTGCTCTTCCTCTCCAGTAGAGGGAAAATTGGATCACCTGAAGAATAACCACCCCAGTTTATATCACCATAGATTAAACATTACAAGGCTACCTGGAGAAGCAATGGGTAGGGGTAGGTAGGGTAGGGGTAGGTAGAGTAGTAGGGTAGGGGTAGTAGGTAGGGGCAGGGGTAGGGGTAGGGTAGGGTAGGGTGGAGTAGGGGTAGGGTGGGGTAGGGTAGGGTAGGTAGGGGTAGTAGGGTAGGTAGGCAGAGTAGGGTAGGTAGGGTAGGGTAGGAATGTTAGTTAGGTAAGATGGTGTCAGGATTTTGAAACATTAGATTAGGTTAGGTTAGG